CCATCAGCAGGGATGTTGGGAAAGAGACATGCTCCCTAGTGGGACATTCAAGACCAAGAAAATGAAAATGCTAAGCACAGTGAGAGGCATCACGGTCATGAAGGAGCCCGGGAGGTGCCAGGACTGCGGTGCCAGGCGCAGGACCGCTGTTTACTCCCTCACCCTGACCCTCGCTGCTGTCTTCTGGGACAACGTGCAGACACTGCTGGCAGAGCCGCCCAGGGGCACGGCGAGGGAGGCAGGACTCGCACTCAGGGCTCCGGAGCCCGGCGCAGCGTCTGGAACCCAGCGGGGGCCTGAGACCGGCTGGGCCAATCCCTCCTGCCTCCTTCCTCCCCTTCCAGCCCCTCTGTGTCCTTTCTAAGTAAAAGCTCCAGACTGACCCCAGCACTCTCTCCTGCTTTACTCTCAGGACAGAAAGTTGTGCACAAAATAGGGCGCATGCAGGGTGGGGTGCCATCCCCACTACACAGGCGGGAAGACTGAGGCCCGCCAAGGAGCAAGGGGCTGCCCAAGGGCACAGAGCGACAGGGAGTCCAAGGCTGAGCACTGGCGTGGCCACTACAGGCTGCTCAGCTCCCTCCCCGCTCTGAAAGCCCTGGACTGCATGGGAATGGGGGAGGGGACACGAAGGGGGAGACGGGGAGGGGGGCTGAGGAGGGAGGAAGAAGAGCCCTCACAGGCACGGGGAGGGCCTGCTAGGGCAGCGGGAGGATCATTAGCCAAAGCCAGGGCTTGGCTCTGAGCCCTCTGCGGCTCAAGAAGCTCTAATAAGGCTCCAGGGCCTAGAGACCTGGAGTGAGGGATCCCTTGGGCCTCCTTCCTCCTTCTGCATCACAGCCATTGGACCAGGCAGGGGTGGGCCCCAGGCCAGCTTTCCAGCCTCCCCCACACCCCCCCACCCCCTGCTGTGTGCTGGGGTGCCAAGCCAGGGGGATAAGACTGTCGGAGAAGGAGCACTTCACAGGCACACAAACTCCACTCCCTTCCTAACAACATCAGATCAAGCCCGAAATCAAGGGAGAAACCAAAGCCCCTGGAGCCACATCAAAGGATTCGGGACCAACTTGAAGAGGCTCCAACGGCCAGCCAATCCGAGCAGCAATAAGGATAACAACTTCGATGGATGAAAACATGTCAAATACATTCACATCCATGAGCTCATGGTGAAACACAAACAATTAGTCACTACCGGAGGATGGCAGGGAATCAGCTCATGTTTGTGAGCCTGGAACATTAAGGGAAAGAATGGGAGGTTTGTGCCGCCTTTTGCGCACAAACTGTCCCACGGGGGGGACCAATCGCACATGAAGGGAGCTTTATATCTGGGGATGAATTCCAGCTAAGAAATGAGAAAGACATGAGAGTTTTTAGACGCCCACTATTTTGCAACCACTGGATTCATGAAATCATGGCTTCTAACATCACAGAACAGAGAGACGACCAGACACGACGCGCCTCCTGAGCGACCATCGCCTGCGAAGCGGTTGTGCCAAAGAGAATTTGAGTCTGAACCTGATCAAGCCATGAAAACAAAGCCAGCAAATCCAGATAGAGGAGCCCCTCCCCGCCTTAGCCTCCTCGCAGGGGGCATTCCAAGACCCCAGTGGATGTCTAACGCCGCAGCTGGTACCAAACCCTATCTATTCTGTTTTTTACTGTACACACAGACCTACGATAAAGCTAAAGTTATAAATCAGGCAGAGTGAGATATTAATTTAGGAAAAGTTTATACTTAGTAGCTGTAAACTCTATTGTTCCTGTATCTTTTTTTCCTATACATGCACACCTACGATAAAGCTAAGCTTACACATTACGCACCGTTAAGAGACAAGCACTTTGATGCTGGGGACTGTTGACCTGAAAACCGAGACGGCCGCTAAGCGACTATCAGACGGGACCGCTTACCCTGCGAGGATACACTGGACAAAGGGATGACTC